CTGCAGGTGCCACCCGCCTTCGAACTCGGGCAGCGCCACGGGCTCGGGGTCGGGGCGCCAGGACTGCTGGCAGAGCACTATGGCCTTGGGCTGCAACTTCGCCACAGCCTGCAGGCGCTCCGCGAGGCACTCCTCCAGGGCGGCGACACCCGTGCGCACCTCCGGCCCCCGGGCCTGACCAATCCTGGGCCCACGAGCGGCGGAGATGCCCCCCTGGCCAGGCCAGGAGGGCGTCTACGCCGCTGCCGGTCCCAGGATAGGCCCAAGGCCTGGGGCAGCGGCAGCGGGTGTGTACACATCTCGTCGCCCGATCCTCCCGCACGACCACCAGCGACGCCATGGCGCCCGGCCCCACGAGCGGGGCCGTCTCCCTCCTCTCGCCCGTGTCCTGCCCGGCACGGGGCGACGGCCCAGACGTGCTCGCAGCGTACACGGATCCCGACGGGAAGGTCTCGCCCGACTTCGAGCCCGGGGGGACCTCGCCAGGCCCCGGGGCCGCCAGAGAGCGACTCGGGACGAGCAGCCGGCCGTGGGGGGAGAGGGTCGGGACTTCTGGGGCCCACGCCCCGCTGGAGACCAGGGCGTCGCAGGCCTGGGGCTGGCTCGCGCGGTTGCCTTGGCTTCCCCTGGCGCCATCTGGCGCCGGAGGCGCCCGAAGGTAGAGAGCGCTCGGCGGCGGTCCCGAGACCAGCCGCATGCCGCAGACTTCGTGTCCCCCCCGCCGCCCCCCTGTTTGGCGGCGCGCACCAGGGGAGGGCGCCAGGGGGGGTGGCCTTCTAAGAGGGCGGCGCGCTTCCTCGAAGGCAGGGGCCCGGAGGCTTCCAAGAAGGCTTCTGAGAAGCCGGGAGGGCTTCTGAGAAGGCCCCAGCCTTCTCAGAAGCTCCCCCGCCTTCTTAGAAGCCGGCCCCCCTCGCGCCAACCCCGTGTGCGCGCCGCCAGCCTGTGCTTGCCAAAGGGGTGCTTGGCGTGCCGAAGCTTTTGCTCTGGGGGTCGGAGGGGTCTCTCCGTATGGCCGGCCAGATTGGACGAGACCCCACTGGGGACCTTCCAGAAGGTCTCAGAATAGTACAACTCGACAGCCAACCCTGGGAAGAAGTGAGAAGGGGCGGGCCTTCTCGGAAGGCTTGGAGGTCCTCCGGCCTTCCGAGAAGTAGCCTCAAGAAGCCATCCCCGAAGACACAGAAGACTTCTCAGAAGACCGAAGGCTTTCTGAGAAGCACCGCCGCCTTCGGAGAAGGCATGATCCTTCTCACGTCCCCCCCTCGGTCGCCGCCGAACAGCCTTCGGCACACCAAGCACATGCGCATGTGGTAGCAGCGCATCCTGGACTAGAAATTCACCGTGACTGGTGGCTCTAATGACCAATGCAGCATTTTCACGGGCGCTTCGACCGCGATGCCTGGTTCTTGACGAGCTTCGGGCCTGGATCAGAATCGCGTGCTTCAGTTTGACAACATCTTCGACTCGCAGACTAACTTGGTCTCCATCTGAGTGGCTCTAGCGACGCTGTTTTCCTGAGCCACGGCATAATTGTACGACACGCCAAACACCCCATGTGGCCTCAGACATTGTTGTTGTTCGCTGTTGTTCGTCGCGACGCGGCAGAGCCAATCCGCTCGCGCGCTCTACTACCTGGGGCAGACCGTGCTGATTGCCCAACAGCAAGACCTGTGGCCCCAGACATGCGACGTCTTGATCTTCCCCACACAGTCGGACCTAGACCAGAAGGCCACCCCTCAAGAACATGAGACCCTCCGTCGATCAAAACAAACAGAAAATCCAAGGGTACCCCCCAGGATTCACAAGAGCATGTAACAAACAGGAACAACATTAGGCGACCCTCCCCGAACCGATCTCGATCTTCTACCTCGGTCCGACTGCACGGGCTCCCAAAAAACGACCCTCTCCCTACGGCCGTCACTCCACTCCGAGCCGCTTTCTGACGGCCTGGGGCCCCGCACATCCCGCTGTGCTGCCTTAACGACGCCAGCATGTCTGTTGGCGCCGCGCAGAAGGGGGGGTAGGGGGAGGGGGGAAGGCTTCTTAGAAGGAGGCTGCTTCTTAGAAGGCGCCGGCCTCTTCTATAGATATACGGCCCGCGCCCTCTAAGAAGCAGGGGTGTTCCGAAGAAGTCTTCCCCCCTCCCCCGACCTCCTCTGCGCCTGGCCGAGTCTGGGGCAAGCACACGGTGCCCGATCGCCCCTCCCTCAGATCTGACGTTGCCAAAGACCGGAACATCGAAAAAATCACCACCGGGGCCCTGGACTCCCTCCCTCTGCGCCACCCTTCGGGCCGCGTCGATCTGTGAGGGCCCCCCGGGACCGAGACCAGTCCAAAACGCCCGCTTCTCGTGGCGCAACGCCAGGATCTCCGCGCTCCTCGTCCAACCCGATCCGCCCTCCGCTGGCCTTCCGACCCCCTCGGCCCTTCGGCCGAGGAGCAGACGGCAGCGCCGTCGCTCCTCGCCGGCGAGAGGCCCCCCCTGGAATGCCCCCATGCGGGGCCACAGGTGCCCCCCCCTTTCGCCCTGCCCGCCCGCTCCTGGCGCTCCCAGAACGGCTTGCCGCTGAACTCCTCCTGGCCGCGCCTCCAGCCGCGCACCTCCTCGGGCACCCCGCCCGGCGCCTCGGCCAGGCGCGCCGCGACGAGCCGCGCCAGGTGCTTGCGCAGCAGCGCGCCGTGCTCCTCGTCGAGGAAGCCCAGCGGCATCGGCGGCGCGCCGCCCGCGGCCGCGGCGCTGCCGCTGCTCCTGACGGCCTCCACGGCGCTGCCGCCGCTCCTGACGGCCTCCACGGCGCTGCCGGTGCTCCTGACGGCCTCCACGGCGCTGACGCCCAGGCTGCCGCTGCTCTTGCCCGCCTGGAGCGCCGAGGCCGCCGAGGCCTGCCGGCCCATGGCGGACGCCCGGCCGGCCGCCGCCGAGGCATGCGAGGCCCGGTGGCCCATGGCGGACGCCCGGCTGGCCGCCGCCGCCCCGGCGGCGGACAGGCCCGCCTGCAGCACTGCGCTCACCTGCACACGGAACAGGTCGCAGCCGGGCGGCAGCGCGCACACGCACGCCAAGGCGCCAGCGCTCTGGCAGCCTCGCGCGGTTCCGCCGCCGCCGCCGCCAACGACGATACCGACGATACCGACGACGACGACGACGACGACGACGACGACGACGACGACGACGAAGACGACGACGGCGACGACGGCGGCGGCGGCGGCGAGGACGACGGCGGCGGCGGCGGCGAGGACGACGGCGAGGACGACGGCGGCGGCGGTATTGGCGGCGGCTGCGGCGGTGGCGGCGGCGGCGGTGGCGGCGCCAGCCACGGCGCCAGCGGTGTGGCAGCCTCGCGCCACGTTCAGCACGCGCAGCACCACTGACTCAATGGGATCTGTCCCTGGTGAGTCCTTGTTGGGCACCTCGGGCAGCTCGATGACGCAGAGCTTTCCCTTGCAGTCTGTGTCAGCCACGTACATGCCCTCTGTCGCCGTCATAACGTCGCCAGTCAGGCCCTGGCGCGTGGGAACCTGCGCGCCAGTGGCCGCCATCTTAACGCTGAAATCGAAGTCTGTCGTGGCGAGCTTCAGCCAGACCCCCTGCGCCAGGCCGCGGTCCACCAGCACGACCGAGTCCCGCACCGTCTCCACTCCGTGAGAGCCAGCGTTGACCTGCGACACGCCCGGCTCGAAGCGGAACGGCAGCCCCACTGACATGAGCGGCGCGCAAACGAAGGCGCGGAGCTGCAGCGACGTGCCTGGCGGCGTGAGCGGCGCGCATGTCAAGGCGTGCTTGTTCACCTTGCCCACGGGCAGCCCTAGCAGCGTGAAGGGGCTCAGGGGCTTCTCCTTGACGCCGCTGGAGACGGTCAGGCGGTAGAGGGAGCACAGGCACACGGAATGCGACCTGCCGGCGGCCACCACGTTGGCTCCCCTGTGCTCCAGGGCCTCCACCACCTTCGGCTCGTACATGCTGCGGATGTCCCCGTGGCCGAGTTTGCCCCACATGCCTTGGCCCCAGCTCCAGACGCTGCCCTCGCGGTCAATCGCCAAGGCGTGGTAACCGCCGCAGCTCAGCGCGCGGAAAGGAACCGCGGACGCGACGCGCCGCGGGGTCGCCACGACCTTCAGCGCGGTGCGCGCCATGTGCCTGTCGATGGTGACCGTCCTCTCCCCCGGCACGTGCTGCCCGAGGCCGCACTGGCCGTCCGTGTTGTTGCCCCACGAGTAGACGTGCCCGGCGTCGGTCAGCGCCAGCGTCGAGTAGCTGCAGCACGCCACGGCCACCACGGCGGCGCCGTCGTCCGCCAAGGCGCGCACCAGGGCCGGCACCGGCAGGTACGCGAACTCGCCGCCGGTCGTCGGGTCGTGGCAGAGGACGTGGGCGGCGCCGCCTGCCTCCACGAAGCCGTGGCCCAGCTGGCCCAGGTCGGCGGCACCCCACGTGTACACCTGGCCGTCCGAGGTCACGGCGGCCGAGTGCCTCGCGCCCGCGGCCACGGCGACGGCGCGCTTGTGCGCCAGAGGCTCCAGGAGGCGCGGCTGCGCGCAGTCCTCGAGGCCGCCGTGGCCGAGGAGGCCGCTGAAGCCCGCGCCGCACGTCCACAGGTGCCCCTCCTCGGGGAGGGGGACAGAGTACGGGGTGAGGGCATCGGATAAGGAAGCACCGTTGGATGGGGAATCCAGGGTCTGAAACCTAGTGGAGCACAACTTGAGGCGGGCCGAAGGGTACCGCTACGGCTACGGTGAGGTCATTGGCTAAGGAACCATTGGATATGGAATCCAGGATCTGGAAAAAGCCAGTGGAAGTCCAATCGTTGCTTGGATTGTCATAGATATCATCGCCGCTTTCATCAGACAAGGAATCCTCCAGGGTCTGAAACGCCGCCACTACAAGACATATCATCGCCGCCCTCACAGACAAGGAGCCCTGGGCACATTCCTTAACCAACGCCCCCACCGTATAGAAAAATCCATCGATACGGCTACTCCCTGGACGTCTTCTGGGCCGCGCTATGACCAAAATTCCAAGGATATTCTAGCCGTGGCGACGAGATCTTTCTAGGACAAGCAGCGGCACCCTCTGAGATTCGACGATGTCAGCATCGCGAATCATCACGATCCGATGCCCTCGACCCCTTCTTGCTTCGGCATCTTTCGAGCTGGATCGATCTGCGAGGGCCTTGGGCCCGGAATAGGGGGATATCGCCTGGCTCGAAAAATTTGCGACGGCAGGACCTCAGGGCCAGTCTCCACAGACAGCCAGCGCTCCACAGTTTCGATGCGTGGATCCTCGGAGGACTGGAAAGTTCCCCAGGGCCAGTTTTGTCGTCCTGCGTCGCTTTTCGAAAACGGCGAAAATCGGTCGCTCCAATCACTTCGGAGCCTCGGATCTCCTGGACCTCTTCTTTGGGTGACCCAAAAGGGGGTCCAGCTGAAAGGGGGTGGTGCAATGGAGTTGGGGCTATCGTATTGCAAATGTACTGCGTCGGAGAATTGTATTGCAAGTAATGCATTGCACGCGAAAAACCAGAAATACACTTGCGCCCGGGGATGTATTGCACGCCCCATGCTTGATGCAACCCCACACATCTGTTGCACCAGATCCACTGCACCAGCCCCTTGTCGCTGGACCCCCTTTTGGGTCAACCCGACTCTTCCTCCGTCCTCCAAGCCCCCGTGAGGAGCTTCGCGTTTGGACGCCCGAAATGGGTGCCGAAAAAATGGGTACCATGCCCAACAGCAAATGTTGTCCCAAACCAACAGCGGCCGCTGTTTGGCAGGCGGCCTCCTGTCTCGAATGGACACAGGCCGCGGCGGCGTGGACAGCGAGGCCTGCTCAAAATGAACAAGATCCGCTGTTGGGCATTGTACCCATTCTTTCAGTACCCATTTCGTGCGTGCAGATTCGCGGGGGGACTCGCCACGCGCGGCGGAGTCCCGCCGCGCGCCGCGGAGCTCGGCTCTCGGGTCGCAGCTCCTCGGATCTCCGGCGGCCTCTCGGGACCGTCCCCGGGCGCTCTCTCGGCGAGGCGCAGCTGCTGGAGAGCAACCCGCGGCTGGAAAGCCGCCGAGAACCAGCGGCTACTCCCAAGAGCCCCGTGCGGAAGGTCCTCCGTGAGGACCCGTGGGAGGCCCGTGGCGGCCTCGGAGTGCCCAATAGCCTCACCACGCGGTCCGCCGCCGCACGCTCTTGGGATCCCCCGGAGGCCCCGCAGATCGCCCGAGACGTCTCCAGCGAACAGCTCGAGCCCCGAAACCGCGCGGCGGCCCCGAGTCCCCATCGACTCACCACGCGGTGTGGTCACCACGAGGAAGAAGAGGAGGAGGAGGAGGAGGAGCAGGAGGAAGAGAAGGAGGAGGAGAAGGAGGAAAAGGAAAAGGAAAGGAAAAGGAGGAGGAAGAGGAGGAGGAAAAGGAAAAGTAAAGGAAAAAGAGGAGGAAGAAGAGGAGGAGGAGGAGGAGGTCCTCCGTGAGGAAAATCGCGTGGGACTCGTGGGAGGCCACGGCGCAGACCCGGACGCCCTCCAGCGCCAGCAGCGGCACGGGGGCGAGCTGCACGCCGGGCCCGAAGGGCAGGCCGAGCTGCCCGCGGCGGTTGGCGCCCCAGGCCAGCACCGCCGAGGGGCCGCGCCTGGCAGGAAACGCCGCAGCGCGACGGCCATGCTCGGCGGCGAGCGAGGGGGGGAAGTGCGAAGGAGAAGGCGTCCTCTTCCTCCTCTTCTTGCTCTTATTATTATTAGTATCATTATTATTATTATTACTATTATTATTAGTAGTAGTAGTATTATTATTGTCATTATTATTATTATGTGTATCCCTTCTACATCCTCATATTACTATAATTGGTATCCTAAGTATTATTATTATTGGTAATAATATTAATATTATTGATATCTTTATTATTATTATTATTACTATTATTATTACTACTATTATTATTACTACTATTATTAATATTTTTATTATTAGTACTACTACTACTACTACTACTACTACTACTACTACTACTACTACTACTACTACTACTACTACTACTACTACTACTACTACTACTAGTATTATTATTATTAATATGTTTATTATTACTACTACTACTACTACTACTACTACTATGATATTAGTATTATGATTAGTATTATTATTACTACTAGTATCATTATTAGTATTTGTATTCCCTTCTGCATCCTTCTGTTACTATAAGTGTTATTACAAGCATTACCATTAGTATTATTATTAAGATTATTAGTAATATTATGATTAGTATTATTAATATTAGTATTGTTATTACTACTACTATTAGAAGTAAAAATAATTTTATTATTAATAATAGTAGTATTATTACTATTATGCTGCATCCTCCGTCTCCTCCTCCTCCTCATCATCATCAGCATCATCATCAGCATCAGCATCATCATCATTACCATTATCATCATTATCATCATTATCATCATCATCATCATCATCACCATCATCATCATCATCATCATCATCATCATCATCATCCTCATCCTCATCCTCATCCTCATCCTCATCCTCATCCTGCTCATCATCAGCAGCAGCCGCATCATCATCATAATCGATCTTCCTCCTCCTCCTCCTCCTTCTCCTCCTTCTCAACCGCCTCATCCTCCTCAATCCTCATCCTTCTCCTCCTCCTCCTCCTCCTCCTCCTCCTCCCCCTCCTCCTCCTCCTCCTCCTCCTCCTTCTCCTCTTCCTCTTCCCCCTCATCCTTCTCCTCCTCCTCCAACTCTCCTCCCCCTCCTCTTCCACCCCTCCTCCTCCTCCTCCTCCTCCTCCTCCTCCTCCGCCTCCTCCGCCTCCTCCGCCTCCCGCCTCCTCCTGTCCCTTTTCCTCCTCCTCCTCCTCCTCCTCCTCCTCCTCCTCCTCCCTCCTCCTCCTCCTCCTCCTCCCCTCCTCCTCCTCCTCCTCCTCCTCCTCCTCCTTCTCCTCCTCCTCCTCCTCCGCTCCTTTTCTTTATAAACAACTTCTCCCTGTGGCACTCCGAGGCCAGTTTTTAGGGCGGGCTGGGTGTGTCGCCTGAGACTTCTTCACCACTTATGACTCTGAAGCCTAAAAAATGACAACAGGTTCACAGATGGAGGGCGGGTGGTCTTCAAAATGTTGCTCTCGCCCTAGTGCGGCGCACATTCGTCCTAACGAATTGCAAGGGTTTCACGGATTGAGGGCGGGTGGTTCTCAAAATGTGGCTCTCGCCTTAGCGCGGCGCACAATCGGGTTTAAAGAGTTTCACGGATTGAGGACGGGTGGTTTTCAAAATGTGGCTCTCGCCTCAGCGCGGCGCACATTCGGTTTCAAAATCTGCAAAAGGTCACACGGATTCTCATCATCAGCGTAGCAGAAATTTTGTGTTGAACAGATTCAGGATGACGCGGGCGCAACAGTTACGTTGATTCGCTGCGTTGAAGACCCAGGAATGGCGTTGTGGCACGATTCTCGATCGTCAACACGCAACAGTTAGGTTGATCCGTGGCGCTTGAATCCCGAGAACAATGTTTCGGCATGCTGCAGGGTCTTCAAACGGTTGGCTTCCAACGAGGCAGTTCCCTCGATGCAAATGAAACGTGGCCTATGAAGAGGGAGCTTGGAGGGGGGGTTATTCCAACATCGTTGATGCCTCTTGGGTTTACACTGGTGTTCCTCCTCCTCCTCCTCGTCCTCCTCCTCCTCCTGATTCCTTGCTCCTGGTTCCTGGTGGCTGACGAGTTCCACGATCCCCCCCCTCCTCGTCGTCCTCCTCCTCCTCCTCACGCTACTCCTCTTTCTCTTCCTCCTCCTCCTCCTCCTCCTCGTACTCCTCCTCCCCCTCCTCCTCCTCATCCTCCTCCCCTCCTCCTCCTCCTCGCACCGGGCGCACGTATGCGCGAGCTGTTCTGCTCTTGCAAAAAAAGGAGTGCGGACGTTGATGCATGTATGTACCTTCCTTGGGATAGCATACGAGACGAAGAAAAACATTGTGTTGCGTGGCATGGAAAGGCATGTGTGCCCGCCTGCTGCAGCAGAGCATTGGAGTCCATGGGCCGTGCAGCCAGATGGGAGACACCATCGGCGGAGCATCGCCGCGATCATGTTTTTATGTTGACGTTCAAAAAACCCGATGCTTCTAACGTTTAAAAGGTCGGTGGGGCAAATCAAGGCGCGGAGCTGTGTCGAAATAGCGTTCGACCCACGCAGTCACGGAACGCAATGTTTTCTAGCGTTGGCAACGAACGCGGGCTGACCACGAAAAGTCCCGCGGAACGGCTTTCCTCTCAGAGGCCCCCTGAGGGGTCCGAACGATGCCACACCAGCGCGTCATGACATCTATTATTAAGACGAAGTTCCTGCGATGGAACGCGACCCAATACACGTGCGGGACCTGTGCTAGCTAGATTGGGACGCCATGGCGCACATCCTTGGCGCACCAGGCGTACCAGCGTGTCATGACATCGGTGCGCCACACCAGCGCGTCATGACAGCCATCATCATGAGGATGATCCTGCGACAACACATTAGTGAATGCACATGCGGACGGCCATTGTCCCATGTGTACCCATCGTTCTGCCATACCAGCGCGTCATTGCATTCATATTCATGGTGATGTCCCTGCTACGACGACACACGCATAACGTACAATCGTCGGGTCTAGGGCGCACAAGTCGCCAGCGTGCGTTGATACGTTTTGCTTTGGGCAGAGGCCAAAGGGGTCGCGCGCTTGGTGGGGGGGAGACGGCGCTTGCATTTCGGGCGAAATGCTGCTCGAACGACAAAACGCAATGATTTTTCGCTGCGGCACTGAAAAGGAGATGGCCACGAAATCGCCCTGATAATGGTTTCCCGCCAAGCGGGCTCATAAGGGAGCCGAACGGTCTTACACAATCCCTGGGATCGGTGCTGAATGAAGACTCCATAGTGTATACTATCGGCAGCCCAGTGTGTCATGAGATCGGTGTGACACACCAGCACATCATGGCACCCATGATCATGATGATGGTCCTGCGATAATACACGAGTGAATACACATGCGGAAGGCCAGCCTGCCATGACACTGGCGTGCCGTACCTGCGTGGCATGGCACTCATCATTATGATGATCGGGGTGATGATGATGGTCCTGCGACGAAACATGACTGGATTCACGTGCGGAGGGACAGCGCCCCATGTGTATATACGATCTGCAACACCAACGCGTCAGGAAGTTCATCATCAAGACGATGTCGTGCTTCGACGACACACGCAAAACATGCCATGGAAACGTCTGGGGCGCATAAGTCGGCAGCGTCCGTTGATACCTTTTGCCTTGGGCAGGGGCTACGCAGGTCGCGCACGCGTGTGCCCGGAGCCCTCCTCCACCTTCTCCTTTTCCTCCTCCTCCTCCCTCTCCCTCCATTCCTCTTCCTCTTTAATAACTCCTCCCTATCGCACCCCGAAGCCAGTCGAAAGGGCGGGCCGAGCGTTTCGCCTGAGACTTCCTCGCAACTTATGACCCTGAAGCTTAAAGATTGGCAACAGCTGCACGGATGGAGGGCGGGTCGCTTTCAAAATGCATCTCTCGCCTGCCTCAGCGGCGCGTACACTCGTTTTTTTGTTTAACAACAAAAAAAACAATAACAACAAAAACACGGATTAAAGGCGGGCGGTTCTCAAAATGTGCTTCTCGCATTACCTGGGCGACTCCAATGTAGGATCCATGGGGGACCATTCGGAAGGAAAGAACTTTAGGCGCGCGCCGAGGAACCCAGGGGTCCAGATTGCGCGGAAGAAGAAAAGACATCCCTAGCCAGGGGTTCGAACACGGGGGTTACCCCTGCCTAGAAATGAACAATCCGGAAGAGGAATGAACTCTCAGCTGCGCGGGGCCCCACCCCCCTAGCGCAACCAGAGGAGGAACAGCGCGAGCGCCCATGTTGTAAATGCAATGCAGTAGCACTCTAGTAGTGGTTGCACTGGGGAACTGTACTAGTACTAACTGCACCCCACTGTTGCACCCTAATACTGATACGAACTGTGATGTGCTATTCGTTGCACTCTAACGTGCACTGCAGAACCAGGTGCACTCTGGGAGCAGCTGCGCGATAGTACATGGTAGTACCAGTTGTATTCAAGCACTAGGTGCACTCAAGTCGGACGGGCTTAAGGGACCCAGTGGCAATGCGCGCATGGAAAAAGGAAACAACTCTTTGCGTCACCAGGGGTCCCGGGATTAACGGGTCGCCGGGAAGGTGGACCCCCCGCGGAGGGAAGAGAAGAAGTCTGGCCGGGGGGGTGGGGGGTTCAGGCACGAGTCGCAGGGGCGATGCTCTCGCCTTAGCACCGCGCACATTCGTTTTTCAAAACTGCACGCGTTCCACGAGATGGAGGGCGATTCGTTTTCCAAAATGTGGTTCTCGCATGAGCGCCGCGCACACTCGCTTTTGAAATGTACAAAGTGTTTCATGGATTCCCAGGGCCAGCGTGCCAGAAAAAAACGTTTGGAAGGAGTCCAGGTTGTGAGGGTGCAACAGTTACGTCGATTCGCGGTGTTGAAGTTCCGGGAATGGTTTTCTGGCACGATTCAGGATCATCACAACGCAACTTATGAGGGTGCATCAATTACGTTGAGTCGCGGTGTTGGTCCCAGAAATTGCATTCTGG